TATATATATATATATATATAGCGAACAAACTTTTTAGTTTTCGTAGAAAACAGCGCATATAATATAATTATGATTTACTATGGAACTTTTATGCTATAAATTGAAACATTTGATCGACGTAAACAAAAACCTGTTCATTATTATGTAAATTAAAAGAAAAACATAAAAAGATTCATATATTTATGTATATATATGAAACGCAAAAGCGCAAAATGATTGTTCGGTTATTTTTTTCAAATCCAAAGTCAACAAAAATGAATTTATAGATACGTATGATGTAAACCTACAATAATCATCACGTTTCATGGAAGAATTTAAAATGAAATCGCGCAATGTAGGAAATTAAAGATCAAATACGATATATTAATGAACAAAATATTGAATTAAAAATAGAAACAACAAACGTAAGAAATATGCGCGCGTCGATTTGTTTCGTTGCAAATTTTGATTCTAAACGTGTACATCGACGTGTACAATTTGTTTATTATATATAACGATGCATAGCCATTTTCCTTTTATGGCTGTGTTAACAAAATAATTGATTAAATGTTTATTAATAATGTTAATTAAATAGATTTATATACGTGTACTTTCTTCATCACTACTACTACGTTTAAAAACGATCCTTCTCGAAAATGAAATTATTAGATTCTATAGGAACATGTAATTTGTTCTATGAAAAAAAAAAAAATTGAAAAAATAAATAAATCAAAAAGAGTTTCGTTGTTTAAAAGTTGAAGAGTTTCGTTGTTTATCTATTGACATTGATTATTACACCGTAGAATGATTGATTGTTGCATTGTCCAAATTTCGTTTGATACTTTCTAATTCTTTCATATCCGATATCGATGTTTCACATTTGTAAACAACGAGGGAATGATAAAAGTGAACGGCAAAGGCTACGAATACTATAAGTACAGGTATTACTATAATAGTACTGGCAGTAGCAGCGGTGAAGGAATAATCCCAAAATTTGACCCAACAAAGTATCGCTACTTCGACCAAAAATAAAAACAATCCTAATACTGTGGAAAATGCCCAGGCCAATTCGATGAAACCGCGCATTCTTTCGTGCGGGGATTCTGTTACCAAACGCGACACTTGCAATTTACTTATAGCTTCGACATTTGGTAAAAGATACGTGCTTATCATTAATGCGAAGATGTGCACTGATACCAATACCGTCGTGCAAACCGCAAACATAACGAACAGCCATTCCGGTACCGCAGTTGGATCATTTATTTGTAGTTCAACCATTGCGACCTGAAGCAGAAAAATATTCAACGCTAATTTTTAATGGATACGAAAAATACGACGAAACAAAATAAGCTAAGAATTATCTTTACGACCTTTCATTCTTCTAATTAATTCTTATTATTTTTTTTTAATTTATAGATTTTGTTTTCCTTCTTTTTTTTTACGATTTATGCGATACGACTAAGGTGTGCTAAGAGCGTCAATCTTTTTATGATTGTCGAGTAGGTAAAAGCTTAATCACACATTGCTGCTATCTTTTTCTTTCAATGTCGATTAAAATGAATTTTTCAACGTAAAATAATTCTTACTAATAATAACAATATATATATATATATATATATATATATATATATATAGAAGAAAGCGGCGTTCATCTTGCATAATCAGAGATCAAACTTGAAGATCATACACGGAATTGTCGTTGATGTTGATTTAATGATTTTCAGGAAACGTTGTGTAATCGGTTAGGATGATAGAGACTTTGTTCGTGGTAACGTGTTTTCAACGTTTTTTTTCTTTTTTTTTCTATTTTTTGATGATAAATAAAATAAACCAATTTGGAGGTCTGTCATTAGCGGCAATTTATTATGAAATCATCATAGTTAAATAAAGTGAAGAATGTTGTAAGAAAAAATATAAGGAGAGATAAGATATTTTTCCTATCCGTTAGTTAAATGGGAATAAACCTACCATTGCGAAACCACTTAATAGTTCGGACGTAGTTGCAGTTGCTTTTAGTTTTGCTCTGCTCATATGTAATCTTCTCCAGGAAAGTCCTTGTGGTCCATCCTGTTCTTCAATCGAAGGGGTTGTAACGAGTGGTGGTAAATTCGTATGAGAAAATTGCGAACCGGTGCAGGCGCAACAACACGTGTTACACGGATGTACAATACCCCCAGATGTACCAGCATAATTATTCGAATTTGAAGGCAGATAAAAATGAGAGGGTTGAGGTGTTCCTACGACACTCGATCTCATATCCAACGTTACATATTTGCTCGCTCTGTTTTTAGCCGATAATATCAATTCACTTTGCGCCGAGCTAAGCGTGTTATTCTTTGGATTGTAATTGGAAAAATTAGATTCGCTTATCTGATATTGATTATGCTTCGGCAAATGCAACGTAGATGTCGAACGTTGTTGTTGTTGTTGTTGTTGCTGCTGATGCTGTTGTTGTTGTTGTTGTTGCAATCCACCGTAATAAGATTTATGTTTCCAATTTGATTGAGATATATCACTTTGCGTTGATTTATTCGATTTACCGACTACAAATTCATTCGGATCATTTTTCGCGCCCTTCTCGTCTTCTATACGATCTAAGCTTGTTTCACTTTTCGATTTAACAATCGTTCCTGAATTATCTCGCGACATTACGTTAATCAATTAATTTAAATTTTCTAATGTTAACACATTTTGTTGATTTAGCACACCAACATAACATCCACATCTAAAGATTCCTATAATCGGTAGCGAGTTCAGCGCTACTGTTAGACGCTAACTGGTTGTGAGAAGATCTTCCTTCTTTACGACTACCTCGAACGACTACTAGTGGGATAGATCGGTGCTTAAGTGTATATGTCTACGTCACGATGTATCTCTGAATCATAACAATAGTATTAATCGTTTTCAAGCTATGTCGATCGCATAATAACCGAGTACGCCGATCCTCCTCCTCCTCCTCCTTCTTCTTTTTTCGTTTTCCTTCGTTCTTATCCTTTTATCCTTCAAAAATGAAAAGTCTATTCATTTGGATATAGTAGATTCGATGAAACGTAAGTATTTGTTTATACCTATTCAAGTATGCATAATATCTAACATTTGCTACGGAAATTCCTTCTAATATTTTCTTCGTTATATTTTTTAGACGATCTATTCAAAGAAAATAAAAACGTAACTAAGGCTATTTGTATTCTAACCGGACCACATCTACTTACCCTGAAGTAAATAGCACACTCGAAGAAAATAATCACATTATTATTTATGAAAGGAGAATCGTTCTTCTTCGTAATAAATGTTATATGACATTCCTACGTAATCAGCCCAATTTTGTATGATGGAACAATACAAGTGGTTTTTTTAAAACGTCTATCGAAAATGAAATTAATATAAATTTATAATGAAACGATTTTAAAATGCATCTAACATTTTTTTATTGTTCACATAATTATACTCGAAAATAAACATTTTTATATTTATATTATTTTATTGAGGCAAATGAAAATTATTATTCATTTTCATATATACGTTTGTATGTATGCGTAAGTGTAAATGCAAGGGAAAAGGTTTCACATTTCCATTCTATTTACATTCCTTGATCTTTAATAATCCAGCCAGAAAAACAGGTATTTCCAGATTAATTACAGATTAATTTAATTTGTTAATTAATGTTAATTTGTTAAATTAAATTTGTGTGTGTGCGTGTGCGTGTGTGCGTGCGTGCGTGCGTGCGTGTGTGTGGTGATATTTAGTAATATTTTTAAGTTCCATTTTCGTATCGTACCTTTCTACAAAAAATTGCTGTTTCTTTGATTACAACGGATACAAATAATTTTAATTACGTACAATGTATAGTTGAATGTTAAATCTAACTCATCGTTTTTATTTATAAAACATGAATATAATTAAATTTATAAATCATCGTTTATTCGTCTTTGCGAAAAATTGTTCAATATAATAGTCGATTATTTTGATTTAAATTTATTTTACCGCTTTCGCAAAATGGCCATTGTTTGCGCATGCGCAAATATTATCAAGTAATATAACGTGATACATTAGAAAATCATTATATCTGAAAAAAGAAATATTCATTAAATTTTATTAACGATATTATTATTTACAAAAATAATGTGCTTGAGTGTGAAAAAAAAAGAATATAAAATATATATTAGAAATGAATTTGAATGCGCGGTTTAATGGCGGACATTTTTAAATTACGTCCAAAGAAAATATTTGTCAATTTTAGATGTTGGCAGTATTGATAGTTGATCGCGAATAAACGTACTCTGTGTTTCTATTATTGCCGTATCATATAATTATCATAATTATTGTGCATTGTATGTCAATGTTTAAAAATAATTATCAAAATAATTTATATCCACAGTTTTTCGTCATAGTGCATGTGTATTGAATTAAGTCAAACGGACGTGTGGCGAACGAAAAAAGTATTTGCTTGAAAGACCTACGATGGGAATAGAATTTGCGCAATCTTTCTAGAAAAAGAAAATTTATTTCAAGGAAACATACTCAAACAAAATAACGAAGAGAATCTAACATCTAATCGTTTATTTATTATTATTCTATTTCGGTGTTTAATTTAGATGTTTTAATACCTCCTTCATAAAAAAAGAAATAATATTGATATTTTTTTTTTGTATACAAAAAAGTGTCAAGCAAGGTTAGCGTCTCTTGTTGTACGAGCTTACAATTAAAATTTAACTGTCGACTATTATTTTTTCTTCACAAATTTAAACGTTTCAGATAATTTTGCACTAATCATTTTAATGTAATATCTTATTTCGTGTATATCATCTTCGCTATAAGATTAAATTCGAAATATAAAAGTTCAAGCGTTTTTTACTTAATTGTTCCAAATGACAGTAAGTAACCTAAATTATTAATAAATAAAAATTATTAAAACATTGTTAAGAACAATTTGCTTGTTTTGTCATTCGTTAATTTACATTAGAAATGTTATATTTCAAATAAATACTATTCCTTTCTTCTTTTCCTTTGTTCCTTTTTTTTTTTTTACTGTAGAATACAATGGGAGGAACACACCTGCATACTCCACCATCGATATTTCAACATATGATAATACAGCAGGGTACTTCTCAACAAGTTGGTTCTTGGACACAAATGCCTCAAGTATTACCTTTATCCATATCATGGAGCGTACCATCCGTACAACAATCAGAATTGATCAGATTTACAGGCGAACAAAATGTTACGTCCAACAACCTACATCAAAAAAGAAAATTAGAAACACCGGATTTACTTGACATGTAAATGTTCATTTTGGTATTTTTTAATACCGTCGAATTGAATAAGAGATCTATTTTTTGATGGATAAAGTAATGTGCATTATTTGTCGCTTTAATAGCAGAAAGACAAAACAACTAATAACGGAAGAAAAAATGGCTGCACACTTTCAAGATTTACACATCAGTTCGAATTATCATTCACAAGATCCTGTACCATCTACATCAATGGCAAATACTCAGTTTGAAAATTCCAATGTAGAGATGGATATTGAAACAACCAACGTGGTCGATACTGAAAATATCAAAACTCCAAGATTAGTTCTATCAGAAGAACTTAAAAGAATACAACATGAATCTATTCTACCAACGACTCTTTTATCCAAATTGTAATTAACCGTGAAATAATGATTTCATATATAAATACAAATATAGATATTAGAATAATTATGATTTATAATTTTCAGGGAAAGGCCATCCATGGCATTAGTTCTTTGGGAACCACCGAGCAAACATCTTCGTATTTTACCTACAAGAGATGTTCCAACACCAGCTTCTTCTAATTCATCAGAGGAAAATAATAATAATAATAATAATAATAATAATAATAACAACAACAATAACAGCGATGGTATGCCTGATTTAAATCAAACAAACTCGTTTGAACCAATGGAATTATGAAATATATATTTAAATATTTCTTACTACTTAACAAACTGATGCATCAAGAAATATTTTTAGCTCGATAAAAGATTTTAATTCAAATTTATTTCATTATTGGACTTAGCTATATTGTGATTAATTTATCTAATTTTCAAATAAAATAAGAAAGTGAATGTTTATACAATCAAATAGTTTGAATTTCCACCACTTCGTTGGTTGGATTTATGCGATAAAAATAGACAAGCCAGCCAAGTTACACGACGAACATCATTTTCTTTATATTTGATGATACTTTCTTCTTATTATCTCATTTTTTCTACACACTTTTGATATAGCCTATACACGTTCGCGCTCATATTATATAATAATTAATGATTTTGCATAATTCGAATAATATACAGGTCTTGCATTCCAAATTTCTTTCTTAAACTTTTTTATTAAGAAAAAAAAAACAAACAAATCAAATGTAAATTTATTATTAAAAAATTCAAAATTATTTATAGTATAGAAGTTGTGTGTCATATGTCTCTTGGAAAAATTATGTCAACTTTTTTTTGTTTAAAAACGATTCGAATAATTTTTTGGAGCAAATTAATTATCTGAATTTTAGATGAAAATCTTATTTGTCAAAGTTTGAATTCAAGTTTCTGTGACTGTGTTTCATTTCGGTGAACATAATAAATATCATTCTTAATAGATTGATCCTTCAGAATTAAGTATAACATTTATTCGTTTCTTGCTTATTTTATTATTATTATTATTATTATTATTATTATTATTATTATTATTATTATTATTATTATTATTATTATTATTATTTCATTCATATATCGTTTACATAAAATATATATATTTATATAAAGAAGGAAACAAGAACGATTCAAATATAAAATAGAATTTGATGCTATTTCTTCATACATTACAGATATTCAACTCCATCATATTTCTTTTTATTATATCTATCATTATATTGTATAATCTTTTAATAGTATACCTCTATGTGCAAATATTAGTGATAAAATAAATAAGTCGAAAAGAACAAAAAAAAAGAAATATGGTCTTTTGTATTCATAAATTTGTCAATTTAATTTGCCATGTAGGATGAATTACAAAAACAGATAAATTCTAATTTCGTCATTTGAAAAAAGTAAATAAACATTAGATAAAAGTCTATCGTACATTATCTTCTAATAGTCGATCAAACAGGGCGATATATTACCAACACCTTTGAAATTTAAATACACCCTATTTATTTTTTCGGACGTCAAGCAACCTTATCCTATAAATATGAAAATTATACAGAATATATATAAAAAATAAAACTAATAAAAGTTGAACAATTTAATAATATTAGATAAATATATTAGATATTTTACTTTTATTCATTTTGTTTAAATTTATTTTATTTAATTGGAATTTGATTTAGGCGTTTCAAGATCTTCTTCTATTAATTCGTCATTAATTATTTTTGCAAGTTTCTCATTGCCTAGGATTGTAATATGATTACCCTCAATAGTATATACTTCTATTTTATTTTGAGTCACCTGAAAATCAAAGTATTTAATAATAAATTAGTATTTATTTTGATGATGATCTATATAAGAATTTGTATAATTTACATTCTGTAATCCATATTCATGGTTTATATTTTGTACACTCGCTAACGTCGGTTTGCACAATTTGATTGGTGCTTTTAAAAATGACAATAAATCCACATTATACGATGCTAATGCTTTCATTCTTATATAATATGAGTTAAGACTATCTTTGCATTCCTGGTCACTCATAAGTTTCTTATATTCACGAGGTAGAATTTCTATGAATAATTTGACTTTTTCTTCCCATGTATCTGAATTATCTAATTTATTCATAAGCTGAAAAATAATGTTTTACGATTAGTACGATAAATGCGAAAAATATATTAAGAAGAAGAAGAATACAAAATAGACAAACCTGTTCGCAAAATATAGGGTCAATCGAGTCCGCTATATTAAACAAAATGTTCTTTTCCATTTCTTTGACCGATGACGGATTTAAATAGTTCATCATTTCTTTCATGTGTAGGGGAGAACCGTCTATAAGTATTAACTTGACATTATATCCTTTGCGTTCTAATTGTCGTGCGATTTCAATGGAAATTATCGTTCCATATGAATACCCAACTAGAGTAAAATCTTTTCGAGTGTCAAGTTTCTTTAATAAATGCTATAATATATAAAGTTATATATATAAATATATATATATTACGTTAATATGACTTTACATTAAACTTCGATTATATTTCATTTCTAATCAAATAATATACCGGTAGAATAAAATTGGCCATGTCCTCAAAACTTTTTAACTCGTATCGTGAAGCAATTTGGAAACAAGTCGCAGGCGACTTAATTTTTGATTCTAAATTCTTGAAAACAACACCATACCCTTCGATTCCTGGAATGAAAAATATTTCCTTCCGACCTTCCTCTGGATTAGTTTTAAGTGGCATAATTATGTCCTTGGATAACGTTTCACCGAACAATTGCATTACCATTTTTGTAACAGACTCTTCCTGGGAACTATTTTGATTGTTATTACTCTTACTCTCATTTACATCATTCATTTCAATGAGTTTGGCGAAGTTTAAGTTTCGAATATCTTGAGCGGTAAGGAAGATTTCAAATTCACGTTCTAATGTCTGTTTTATTTCTACAGCCATCATAGAATCCATTCCAAGTTCAGCCAAGGAAGTTTGTTGACTGACAGTCTTCAAATCTTTAATACCTGTAATTGTATGCGTTAAAAAAATAAAGATAGTTAATAAATGAGAGCATATCACACACACACACACGCGCGCGCGAAACGAAATGACATAATAAAGATTAAACAAAACTTACCCATAATGCCTAGGACACAATCTACACAATTATTTGTACCATAGAAACCTGCTCGTTTTTCAGCGACTACCATACTAGCAACTACGGGTTTTTTTTGTAGTAAAAAGCCATTGAGTTCTTTCAAACACGATGATATCTTTTGTTGCAGGGTACCACCAATAACCATTTCTTTATCATCCTCCTGCAGGTCTGCGACAAGACCGACATCTCCAATTGCACCCCATTGAATAGCTAATCCAGGTAAACCTTCTGCTACTCTTTTCTCACATATTCTTTCCATAACGGAATTAGCCATACCATAATTCGTTTGGCCGGCGTTTCCTCTTCCGCACGAAACAGAAGAGAAAACAACGAAGTGTTGAAGATCCGGACAAAGTTTTCTACTAACCTCGTCCAAACATTTCGTCGGCCAAGCTTTACCTTTGAAAGATTCTTCAAAACTTTCTATAGTTTGATTTTTAAAAATACCATCTCTCAATGATGCTGCTAAATTGAATATACCATCGACAGGACCTAGATCTATCGCTGTTTTTAATATAAGCTCGCAATCTTCTCGTTTACCAGCATCGAGATTAACAAGGATCTTTACTTTAACTCCGTAACTTTCCCATAATTTAACTCTCAAACGTTGATAACCATTCTTTATACCGTTTCGCGATGTAATTACAACATTTTTAGCATTTCGAAGAATCAACCAATCGATTAATTCCAAGCCAAAACCTCCTAAGCCACCAATAATTACATAACTTTTGTCCGGATCACATAAATAAGTAGGTACAGTAGTCATTGTCATATTAGGTGGGTCATTATCCTTACGGATCTGTATGAGTATCTGCAAAATTTTGTATAAAATGAAAATTTGTCATTCAAAATAATGGTTATAGTTAAATAATATTCAAACAAATAACGGCGACTTACTTTTCCCATATGTTTTCCAGCTGCCATGAATCTAAGTGCTTCTTCAACTTGGTCCTTCTGAAAGATTTGTCTATTGATCGGTTTAACAGCACCACATGCAATCAATTCGTACAATTTATCCCTGATTTCCTTCTTTAATTTATAATTGTTTGATACTATTATTTTATCTAACATGACAGCATGAAAAGAGATATTATTCTGGAACAAGTCCGCGTTTATGGTGTTATTAGATGCTATGTCAAACTTTCCGATTTCCAAAAATATTCCACCATATGCTACACAACGCAAAGATGCTTTAAGTTTCTCTTCCGCTAAAGAATTTAGAACGTAATCTACACCTCTGCCATTGGTTTCACGTAAAATCATTTGTTCGAAGCTGGTATCACGAGAATTTCCGATATGATTGTCATCGATACTTGGGAACATTTTTTTAATGAATTCACGTTTTTCCGGTGTACCAACGGTAGTAAAAACTTCAAGACCTTGGTGAAGTGCTAAATTAATAGCGGCTTGACCGATACCACCAGTACCCGCATGAATAAGTATTGATTGTCCTTTTTGTATGTTTCCACTTAAATAAAAAGCAGTAATACATGTGGCGTATACACATGGAACTGATGCTGCCTCCTCCAAACTCCAATCTTCAGGTATTTTCCACGAAGAATATTCTTCATATCTGGTATAATTTGATAGGCATCTAAATGAACAGCAAAATAATCCTATCACATACAGGATACCCCATATATTATATTATATTGTATTATATTATATTAAATATCAATAATTCAATCATTTGTCATGAGAGTGTTCACCCGTTAAAAGAATATCCCATAACACGTTCACCCTTCGCAGTGATTCCACTATATTCAAATCCAAGTAAATAATCTAATAATTTTCTGTCATCTGTTATTACTTCCGCTGCCAGTTTACCAGTTGCCAACATCACATCTTTGAAATTCAACGATGAATAATGAATTTTAATAAGGTTTTCTTCATCAATCGGCTTATGTGTCCCTTTAACCCAACATATCGAATTTAAATCTCCGCGTACCTGTTAAAAAATATGATTTTATTAATTCGTGATATTTCGTTAATAAATTAATTGAATAAATATCTTGACGTACCTGTTGACTAATAAGACCGTGGAAGGAAATTTGATTCTCGATAGGAGGAAGTAAGAAATGCCTATAAGATCCCCAAACTTCTCCTGATCTTAAAACATTGATAGTAAGATTCAGTTCGATTTGTTCGGAATATAATGGTAAATCTAAAGAAAATTTGGGTGCTTTAGTATCTTGAATTAATACAGCTCTGTACATTTCACAGCCAGGTTCTTTTATCAAACAATTTATGAATCCCATAAGACCAGATTCGAATTTTCCTTGTTCGACGAGTATCACTCTGAAGTTACTATTACAATCTTCTATTTCTTTGTCGACATCATTTTTAACTTTTTCCAACCAATTAAATTCATTGCTATCAACGTGAAAGACTAATAATTTGACCTTGTTCTTATCTAATTTTCTTAACAATACGAAATATTCGTCGGAAGTACGTTTCTCAGCGACTACACCTAATTGTAATTCCTTCAAAATTGATGAATTCAATTGTGTGTTAATATTTTCACGTGACAAAATAAAACCTTGCGGTTTGGTTGCTTTTATAAGCTGTTGCAACTTGTCGGTATTATCTGAGCTTAATAAATTACATCCAATCGATAATAACGCGGAATCATCCAATTGTAATTTTTTTGGTTCTGAAATGGTGATATTTTCAGGGATCTCATTTTCGGTATATTTCTGTGTTAGTGCAAATACGTTAATGTTTGCTTGGATTAATGGTAAATTTCCTAAAATGTCGGAAATCAACGGAGATGCGAGATTTTCTCCTGATACATTGTCATTTTCATCGATTAGTTCATTTGTCTTAACCGATAGGTTTAATATATTCTCTAAACAAATGTGAAGAGAAAATGTTAATATATCACGCAACGACATTACTTCTTTGTCGCGATGAGCTACGAATCTATATTCTTCGATAACTGGATCACCGGCAGGTCTCTTTCTAGCAATCGCGTTAGCTAAAATATTATGAACTTCTATGCCACCTCCTATAACTACGTCAAGGTTTTCACAGTATTGTACGGGTATATCTGAAATAAAAAAAAATCATTGGCATATAAAAAAATTATTGATATAACTTCAAATATTCCATTAAACTATATAAATATTTACATTGTTCTTCGAGAGGCAAAGCACGGATATATTGTTGATGGTATTTAGTATCTATTACCAATTTTTTAATTCCAGTCGGTACGAATAAACCTCTAGTATCAAACGTGAGAATTTTCAATTGTAATAAATTATCCATAAACGCAACCCAATTTTGTTTCCATTCAATGTGTCCTCGGCGTCCGTCGATTGACGCACTGACAAAACTTTTGAATAAACCAGAATATTGATAACCGCGTAATCTCAATTCTTTGTAAATATCTTTCGTTTTTAATATTTCTTCCCTTTCAACATCATCCTTTCTCGCATATTCCGGTACTTTTTCCTTTGTAATATCATCCGCAATGCGAATATTTCCGCTAACCACAGCAGTATTTCCTTCGATTACTTCGAAATTACCGCTACCTATTAATTTATAGATAAACAAACATATATATTGAATTACTTTTGAAATATAATTTATAAATTTATAATACTATATAGCACAACAAATTAGAAAATAATTATAACCTTTTTGAATCATTACAGTCATTTCAACTCTGCCTTCCTTGGGAATGGTGGTAGCTCGAATAAACTTAACATCTCTAAATACAACGGACACTTCCGTGTACAATTGTCCTACCATCATGCCTATAGTTTCCCAAACTAAACCTAAATATCCTGTAGCTGGGAACAAATTTCTACCGTCGATATTGTGACCAGTTATAAATTCGAAATCTTCATCGATAATTGTTACATCAATAGCTCGTTCTCCGGAAACTATTTTTTCTTGTACTTTGAAAGATGTTACGTACCAATCTTTCTTATGATCCCATCTGTGTTCACATTGAAATATTCAAATTTTACATTTACATTCATACAACTTTCAAATGAATTATCACATTTTTATGTTTTCTCTACGTGATACATTATGAATCTTACCTTATAGACGGAGATATCATTGGAGTACCTCGACTGACCGGAAATTCAATAGGTGGATATAATACAGCAAGATCAAGTTGATGACCATTATTATAAAGCTTTCCTAATCCTTGTAGGAAAACTTCTGCGTTATCTGTATGATCTTTTTGACATAATCCAATATTCGTTATAGTTGAATTCAATGATTTGTTCAAAATCGTTGTTAGCGTAGCATGCGGTGCGATTTCAATGGTAACAGCATTGTCCGGTATAAGGGCTAAAGTTTCCTCAAAAAGTACTGGTTTCAACAAACTATTGGCATGATACTCGGCCGACGAGAATTTTGCAGCTGAAGTTGACCATTCATTGCGTGGTACCGAAGTACTGAGCCATTTTTCGCTACGAGGTTTTGGTTTTGTTATAATTTCTTTGAAATATGATATTAGTTTTGGTCCAGCTGATGCGATATAACGGCTATGATAAGGTACATTACCACATGACACTTCTTGCACAGAAATTTTGTTTGCCTGTTTAAATATAACATGATGTATAAAAGTATATGTACATTTGTGTATTATATTTTCATTAATTTCAAACGAACCTTCAAATTTTTAATTAATGCTTTTATAGATTCAGTCGGTCCGCTAACGATACAACTGTCAGGTCCGTTGTGAGCTACTACATCGATATCAGCAGGACACAATTGTTTAACATTTTTATAACCAATATCTACAACTGCCATAGAACCCGATGGTACTTTTGTTTGTATAGGGGCCACTCCTCGCGAATACGCTGCCAACATTACTTCCTCAAGTGTCAAAGTTCTATCTGCGTATGCACAACCAAGTTCACCGATCGAATGTCCGATTATGTAGTCCGGTTTTACACCCACAGTAGTTAGAAGATCTACCAAGCCGATCTGTAAAATGTTTTATATTTTCTTTCTTTCTTTTTCTTTCTCTTTCTCTTTCAAATTTTATAGAAAAAAAAATATTTATCGACATTACCTGAACCGCAACAATTCCAATTGACGAGTGCAAGACATTGTCAAATATATTGTTATCCTTTTTAGACAAAATATCATAAATATTAAGTTTGCGAGGTTTCAACACAACGTCGCATTTCTCTATCGCTTTGGCAAATACGCTGAACCTCATCAGAGCTTGACCTAATCAATTTCCAATTATTTGTATTATATAATTTTAATATTTACGAAGAGTAAGATACCAAAAAAAAAAAAAGAAATAAAATATTCTTACCCATTCCAGGCCATTCCGAACCCAATCCAGAAAATACGAAACATATTGGACTCTTAACATTAGGACACTTTCCTATTTCTCTTATATTATTGTTGGTTGTTTTACGACTTGCTACCGTATAGCCTCGATAATCATGACCAGATATTTCGTCACGATGAATATCATGGAAAAGACGTACTAATTCAACGTTTATCGGTGGTTTGTCGGCCTATCAAGAAAATATATACGTATATTTAATGTGTAATATTAACATAGAGAAATAAACAAGATTTTGGTATTCTTTCAACGTACTCGATTTAATAAAGATTCTACTGCTTCTTCGGTACGTCCAGAAACAACTACGAGTCTAGGTAAATCATCGTAAGGTAATTTTTTGGGTTTAGTTTTTGGATGTGATTGAACTAAAACGTGACCATTGGCACCACCAAAACCGAAAGAATTAATGCCTATATATGTACCTTCCAATGGTGTGGGTTCAGTAATAACCTTAATACGGTTTTCTTTAAAACAATCAACATCATCTCGTGGATTTTTAAAATGAATATTCGGTGGTATCAAACCTGTCTCCAACGTTATGATTGCCTACAAAATGTTGATGATTATTAATATGAACGAATATAATGGTATTTAGGTTTTAAACAATATTTTTTACCTTGGTAAGGGATACAATTCCACTGGCTGGTTCGGTATGACCAACATTTGCTTTGATGGAACCAACTATAAGAGGAGTAGTTCTATTTTTACACATAACTTTATCTATGGCATTCAATTCTTCAGGATCACCTACTCTCGTTCCGGTACCATGAGCTTCGATATAATGTACATTTTCCGGTGGTATACCACATTCCTCGTAAAATTCTTCAAGAAGAACACTCTGTCTTTCGCTGGATGGAAATGTTATTCCTTCTTCCTTATAACCATCACAATTAGTTTTGGCATGGGAAAATGTGGCGTAAATTCTCTTTGCATCTCGTGCTTTTTGCAGAAATACTACCGCGACAGTTTCGCTACGCGTATAACCATTTGCATCTTTATCGAAACTCTTGCATATACCATCCCGTGACAATACTCCTATTAGGAAGAAAAAGGTTTTGTTTGAGATGAAGATAAAGATAAAATATGTATTAAATGTAATAATATATTATGAAATTGGTCATAATTTAATACCTAAACGACTGAATTGCAGTGACACGAATGGATGAAGACAAAGATTGGATCCACCGACGATCGCATAATCACTTTGTCCATAACGTATGGATTTGTAAGCATGTTCCATAGCATATATACTCGAACTGCATGCTGTATCTACGGTATATGATAATCCAGTTACACCCAACCACTGCGAAATTCTGTTCGCCAGCATAGATCTGCTGCAACCCATGATACCATATCCGCCCACCTATGGTTAAAGACAAATATTTAGTTTTTTTCTCTTTTTTTTTTTCTTTTAATAGTTAAGTAACAGCTTATAATCAGTTTCACTTACTTTCATTTTTTCGTAGAACCATGTTTTTTCAGATTCGGAAAAACATGAACCTACGATTACAGATACTCTCTTACCACGCAAATCTTTCGGATTAACACCAGCATCCACTATAGCTTCGTAAGCATGCTCGAGTAATATTCTACACATTGGATCCATGGTATGAGCTTGCTTAAAACCGATGTTAAAAAAATCCGCATCGAATTTTTCAATATTATTAATTTTTCCATGTCGTTTTGGAATTTCCGGATGATCTAATTAAATACAATATTAATCAATTAAATATTAACTTTAACAGCCCAATTAATTATACACGATCAATCAATTAAATATTATAGTAGAGTGAATCAAAAGTTCCTACGTTTTACTTTTTAATTATTTTTTTTTTTTTAATATTTCATTCAAAGTTGAAATTATTGCACTATTTAAAACAACACATTTAAGGGGGAGGGTAAGGTTAATTCGTACAAAAAAGGCATGTTTTTGTGAATTTAACACAGTTAAAATCTCTTTATTAAAACCAAATGGTACATTAAAGTATGACATTCGAAGAATATTGTATAAAATTTTAACGAAGAAATATTTAAAAAAATACGGCAATGGCAGCAATTAATTCGGACGTGTCTCAGGAAAAAAAGTAGAATTGCGGTGCCCCCTCAACTACTGTACCGATCCTTTTGAAATTTTCAACACTATTTCTGTACATAATTTATGAGATAACGCTGGAGAGTTTTTTTTTTCAAATTTGTTAATAATTTGTTATTTTACAATAACAAATTAGCCGATTTTTTTTCGCCAAAAAAATCGCTTTTTTCCCTTCAAAGTGTTCCAAAAAAGTGCCAAAAATTGAAATTTTCGAAAAACTCTCCCAGCGTTACCTGGCGAAAACTATTATCTAACGAATGAACTTTGATTTTGTTGATTTCAAATGATTCAACACCAAGTTATGAGGGCCACCGCAATTCTACTTTTTTCCTGAGACACGTCCGAATTAATTGTCGCCATTGCCGTATTTTTTAAATATTTCTTCGTGAAAATTTGATACAATATTCTTCGAATGTCATACTTTAATGTACCATTGATTTTAATCAAGAGATTTTAACTGTGTCGTCACAAAAAATTCACAAAAATATGCCTTTTTTTTGTACGAATTAACCTTACCTTCCCCCCCCCTTTCCTCGCTCCCTTAACGCACGAACTTTTGATTAAAACCTAATATATCATATTTATATAATATTTAATACCTAATGACCATCGACGATCATCATCCGTGATACAATCTTCGTAATTAAAAATTTTTTCCTTTAATTCTTCCACAGAATTGGATTCTGGATATCTACCAGAGATTCCAGAAACAACAACTTCTTCACCCGGTTCTGGTATTTCATATTTGAAATATCTGTACGGTTTATCATTATTTCCACTCATGATGATTCCTTTTTACTTTGGTTTTTCTTTTTTTTCTTTCTTTTTTTTTTTTTAATTACGTTTTTACGTTAAGAAATAAAAAATGAAATTTTAAAATTAAACTTGAACATAAACTATTACTATAGAAACTGTGATTGAAAAACTGTAATTAACTAATCCCGCACAATTAATGGAATCGTCAGCAAGCAATTCTTTTTATAAGAATGCCTTGGCCTCCCCCATACCTCAAGAACTACATCCTATCACGTAAGCAAACGCGTAGTCTTCTTCATTTACATTGAATTTATTTTAATATAAATTATTGTAAAGGTGACTCTTAAGTTCACATATGTATGTATGTCTTTATTCTGATTAGTCTTAATGACGTTAGAAATTCATTTCTTTCTTTTCAATTCTTTATATATATATAAGAAAAGAAATATATCAATGAACGATTAATTCAATATTAATATCAAAATTAAATTTATTTAATACGATCAAATATTCTAATGATATTTAATTGATAAATTGAAATAAAAATAAAATAGGGGATGACTTTTTTTTCGTGGGGTTTGTTAACCCAGGCGCTCAGTCCCTGGACCATTGTGCCCGGGTCCCTTACGGGGAAATAGGGGATGACAAAGAAAAAAGATATTTTTTTATATTATTCATTTAATTCGTTGTAAATTTTGAAAGATTTTGCGTACGAAGGATGTGGATGACGACGTCGTAAATGGTCGTAACAGAACTTGTTAATGATTAAAAAATTACATTTTTTTTTTAATACCCCTAACTATACTTGATGATAAAATATCTATCATTTATTATCTAACTTTGGTATTTCTTATGTTAGTAAATAGTTTTGATATTTCGTATCTCCATAAACAACAAATTTTCATTCAGTAATGTACCCCCTGCAATTGAAACAACGAAAGTGATGATGCAAAAATATCAACCCTTAAATCTCCATAGGCTCCATGGCGGTGCCAAATGTTTTTAAAAGCTTTATGCTTAAGATGTTACAGTATCTTCGATTGATAATTGTTATCTGTTGTTAAAATGTACTCATGTATTATATTATAAAAAAGCACAGAAAAATAAAAAAAAATAAAAATTTACAAAATTCGATAAATAAATATTTAAAAAATAATACTTGTTATAATTAATTACAAACAGCGATAGAAATATTTGCGAAGTGCTAAAGGGTTAAAAGTAAAAATATCTAAAAATAAAAAAAAAAATAAATCAATTCATTTCATTCCTCAAAAATTTTGTTTCTTCGAAAATAACACATAATCCCTAGTACGTATTCGCAGCACGTGTTATAATTATCGTCATATGTCGAGGGTTACCGGATGCCTCTTAACATTTTACATAATGCATGTAAATGTTATTTTAAGAGTACAATTGCTTTTAATTAATATTCTAACGCTTTTTTTCACGAATATAACATTTTAATTATTCACGCGTTACGTACAGGTAGGTAAATGTTTTACACATTGGTTAAATTAACGCGGTCAGTTTTTAATATCATTAGTGAAATATTAACAATACATAAAAATAAATAATAATAATAATAAAAAAAAAAGAAAACACATTATACAAACATCCAATTTTTTTATTCTTTCTCGTGATAAACTCAAAACTTTTTAACCCATTCTTGTATTTTATACTCAAAACTTCTGCTGTCTCATTGTTAAACAATAAATTGCTGAAATAATATATATATATATACATTATTTACAAAACACAATGAATATCTTTATTATATATCAATGGTAGCTTATATTAAATTACAAAATTAAAGATTATTTTAATTTTATTAAATGTCTAGCGTCATTAATATATTATGTTATTATTTATGTATGCATATATATATATATATACACACACAAGTACACGCCCAATCTCACGCACAAACACTCGCGCACACGTATTCACATATATATTTATAAATAATCGTAGAATATCTTTAATTTTTTTTTATATAATATTTAATTAAATAGTATCAATAATTATTGTATCTTATTTACTTTGTACTTCTTTAATACGCGTCTTTGCTAACATTATTTTTTATTACGCGTTATATATAAAATTATAATTTATAATACTATTAAATATTAATTAAATAAAATCCGTGAACAGTGGAAGAATATCTAATGAATTTGCTTTGCAAAACAAGTTTCTTTTTTTTTCGTATAATTTCTTTGTTACGTAAATCTGCATATATATGAATATGTAATGATAATAAGGAAAGTGACAAAATAATAATAATAATAATAATAATAATAATAATAATAATAATAATAATAATAATAATCAAACAAATAGCATATTATTTTTATGGAAAAAAAAATAATAATTAATTAATGATAAACATAAAATTTAAATAAATATATTCTATATATATATATATATGTTATTTAAATTTGTTTCACTTATATTTATATTGTATATATATTATATAAAAAAAATGAAGTAATTTATTTCAATCTTTAGAAACATCGACAAAATGTACTTTCTTTCCTTGACCACCACCATCCAATGCTTCCATAAGACTTGAAGTAAAACTAAATTCTGAAGTACTTTCGTTGTCTTGCGTTCTACAAAAGAAATAAAAATTGTAAACAAATATTTTTTACGAAATAAGAATTGAAATAAAATAAATGCAAAAAACTTACGACGTATCTAAGCTCGTAATACTGCCATTTAAATCAGGTAGATTAAAAGAACCATCTATTTTGTATAACTCGAGAAAAGAATTAACTGAAGCAACGTAAATTCCTTTAGAATGAGTCACACCTAAATATCGTATGCTTGAAAGTTCAATCAAAGTTCTTTCTGGAGTTTTCGATGATAATGTAAATGCTTCGCCGTCTAATTTGATTATTTCTATCGATGAAAAATGTATGATGAATAAATATGGTTTTCGAAAGGCTAAAAAAAAATAGTAAAAACATATTATAGGTTTCCAAAAATATTTTGTAACAAATAATAATAAAAAAATATATATATATATATATATGTAAATTTTGTTTTACCAAAAGCAAATGGTAAATGACTCCATGTTAGATCAACGTTTCGTGTTCTATAACCATTTTCATTGACGAACACGCCAAACTCATTATAACAGAGCAAAAGTTCAACAGTCGAAAATTTACATGATACATTTAAAACACAAATTGGAAAAATACCAAGCCTAGCAACACCAGACAAGGTTGCCTTAACTGAATTGTCATCTTCTTCAGGAAAATCTATATAATAATTGTAATATTTAATTAATATATTTAACAATGATATATATATTTTATATATTAATATTTATCTTTATTTTACCTTCAACATAATAATTATCAAGATCAATTTGAAAGAATTTGTTACATCCAACGATTAAACGATGTTTTGTAAATATAGCACAGCTGCAAGGTTTAGGTGTTTCAAATTCACGAATTTTGACGAATCCTCCCCGATCCTCTTCGACAATCCACTTGAATAATCTACGTAATAAACAAAAATCGAATAATAATGAGAAAAGAAGAAGATGATGAAGATTTACAGTATGGAACATACATTATATATGATTCAAATGCAGCACAAAGGAACGAGTCTTGTAATTGATAGAAATGGCAACTTTCAGAACCCGTCAAAACAGCTTTCGTATTTATTGCTGGCCTAGAACACTCGGCTGCGAGAGAATTGCTCTTTAATTGTCTCAAAGAACAATACACTAATTGTCTATTGTCACCGGCTATCATTACAGCTATATCTAAAGGAGGATGTAAAGATAATTGATGAACTTTCTTGACTCCACGAATCATCGTAAGTATTCTCGATTTGGTGCCACAATAAGAAAATAATCCTTCTTCAGCACCTAACAAAAGTACATTTCCTTCCGGCATATCTATCGCACAATTTATGTCCAACTGAAAGTATATTAAACAAAAATTTATTTAAACAAAATTCAACAATAAATCGATTATTAAAAGAAATGTAATAATTATAAAAAAAAATAATACCTGATGCTTCTCTAACCTAAGTACCGTTTGATATTTTTCACTTTTTATTAATTTAACAGACGAAGAATATTGACTAGTAACAATTTTAAGAGCTTTCACCCAATTCTTTTTATCAGTTTGACTTAAAGCCATAATATCTAGTCTAGATGTAGGCCAACAAGTTGTTAAAGAATTGGATTCTATTCTAAAGATAAATGGTAGATCAGACTTTGCAGTTCCAATTACTTCAGCTTCCTGAATATTCTCTACAATATTAAAGCCTTCTTTATCGTTTAGATTTAAACAATGTATTGGTGACATTCCGGGAGAAGGTTGATGGTCATATATACATAAACGAGATTCCTCCAATCTCAGGTAATTTCTATCCCAACAGGATTTAGATCGTGCCGGTACTTTTGCCCAGCCTTCCATCGAAATATCACCGTTTTTATCTTGAACATTTTGAGGACTCTGTAAAACGATACAAATCATTATTTATATTTAATTACCTAATCAACTTTAATACCACCAATTTAAATATTTACCCTGTCAGGTTTATCCGGTTGGTCTATAGATAATGTTTGAACACTGCCACCCAAAGATGATATACTATCATTTCTATCCTTCATAATTCTATCAAATTGTTTACTGAAATCTCCAGGAAGACCACACGTTGAAGGAACGGATACTGAACATTTCAAATGTGCCATTATTTGACATTCGCTACAAATAGCTGCGCGTTTTCCAAAATGAATGGACTCCCCGCATCCAGTGCATTTTCCAGCACGCATAGGTAATGCTACGTTAAATCTATGTGTAATATTATGACCCATTCTCTGTGGCGACAAACGTTTAGTTAAAATATCATTGGTCGTTTCCGTAACGTGTGCCATAGGCCTTTTTATTTCCGGAGATGTTGGCGAGGAAGGTGCCGATGAAGATATGTGCATAGCCTTATATGCTAATAACTGATCCGTTAATGACTTCACCTTGGCTCGTTCTTTGGTAAGTTGATTTTCTAATTCGCGATATCCGATCGGCATACTCGTACTGATAGGAGGAATATTTTCTTTTTGTTTAGTACCAAGAATTTTGTCACACATTGTCTTCTTTTTCTTACCAGATTCTTCCAATTTCAATTGTAAATAATCGATTAATTTAGCCTGCTGCTGTCGAGTACTTTCAGCTTTAACTTCTCTCTCTTGATAGAATTGTCTCATTTCAGCTAAAACATTTTCCATTTCTGCTATTCTACATCTAAGATCTTGACTCAGGTCTAT